TAAACACTCCTGCTTGGAACGAGGTCTGTACAATCGCAGTCAGGTCCGAAACATGAAGAAACCTGATGTGTTTGGCTCCCTTTGCCATGGGTTTACCAGGCCAAGCAGACTCACAATTGGGTTGCTTTTTTAGGGAAACCGTAATATGCGGAGGGTACTCCTGATCTTGATACATCTGTACAAGCATCGACAGCGAATCCAGGATTTGCTGTCCCTGCACAGAGTTGAAAAATCCCACGAGATCATCATTGATTTCAGCGAGATGCACCATGGAAGGGGTGCGGCGGAGAAACTGATGCAGCTTCTTCCAAAGTTGGGGAGTAGTTGCTAGGCCCATTGCCTCAGGCCAGACCAAGCGAACCATCAAAAGAATCGCTTGTGCAGCTGCAATCAACAACTTCTTGATACAACTGTTGGAGTACGATATTATCGTCCTCCCTTTCAAAAATTCTTTCTTGCGTTTGAGAAAGACGAACCCAACAGGCAAAGTGCCGGAAGCATTGATTCCCCATCTATATCGTCGTTTCAGTATGGCGGGAATCTGTTGAAAAACACAATGGTTCCAGAGTTCTTGGGAGCCTTCCACAGGCTCAAAAACATCTGGATCCTGCCAGGTCTTCATGGCAGCTTGGAGGTAGAATTTGGGACAGAAGACCATAAGATGGTTCGGCTCATGGTCTTCACAATGAACAATGAACTGTCGATGCAGTAAATCGCGAGCAGCAGAAACATCTCTCCATGTGAGCCGATTTTCTTGGCCCAGGTGATCGAGGTGTTTGCTCCATTGTTGCTCGAGAAATTGCTGAAAAGCTATATCAACACCCTTGGGAAGACAATGCTTGCGCCGCCAAGATGCAAACAGACGGGTGTTGTGATTGAAAAATTCTCTTTTGGAAGGAAAAAAGGCTGAAGATGCACTACCACTCCCTAGTTTTTCAAAGGAGCGGTGAAGACTGCCAAGTTGTTCTATGCCTGCTACAACATGGCCTCGAGTGAGGCACTTTTCCGGCAGTAGTTTGGCGTAGTAAGCACAAGGGCATGGTGCTTCATCAACAGAATGATTCTGTAACCATTGGTCCCAGTCTTTGAAATTGTGCATGAAGTCTTTGAGAGACTGATGAGGTTGCTCTCTGACTTTGCAAACTGGAAGGTGAAAAGGTATAAGGATCGGCTTATGTGCCAATACAAGCTTTCGGATCCATCTGGAAACATCTGACCCAAAGCTTGGGGATGCAGTGAATTTCAACTGCAAGCCCAGTGTTGCCATTGGCCAGGACATGTTTCGGAATTGGCAAACAGTTTTGAGCACCTTCCTGGCTTTACTTTTGCCAGGCTCTTCCAGGCAGTTGCTCAAGCGAACCAAAGAGTAAATCTCATCTGGAAGGTATCGGTCGCTTCGCAGCTTTTTTGCCTCTTCAAAGGGGGCACGGCTGAAGCATGTAAGATTGAATAGTATCTCCCATGCCGACCTTCTCTTGAGTTGAAAAGGAACGGGCTGAAGTTGTCTGTGGAGCTTCTTTCTCAGTTTTCTCCACAGTCTTAACCCGAACCTAGAAGACACACTGTGTCGAACTCTCTTGTTGGGTCTAAAGCCCAGTGCACTCCTTTTAAAAAAGGAGGTGATGTACGGGTGATTCAGCTTGGGTTGCCACATCCCAATTAAGCAGTGTTCCGTTACCCATGCTTCCTTGTAAGTTGAGCATGGAGAAACGAGAAACAAAGTGTACTGCTCAAGACACTGATTGGACACCCAGTATCGGATGGCTAGCTCGGCCTGAGCTTCGCCCCCGTTTGCCAGCTTCCTGGCAACTGAGAATCTGTTGGACTCTCTTCGAAAAACAGATTGGCTGGTAGAGCCTATGTACATAAATGTGGAAGGCTGCCTGTAATGTTCAATGCTTGAAAAATGGCGCCAATCCACTGCTGTTTTCATATACACCGCATTTTGTGATTGAAATCTGGGCCACGTGTAAGTGGCGGGGTGCACCCGGAACTGCTGAAGCTTCTGTCGAATGGTCTCAGCATACGAAGACGGAGATCCTTCTTGAAAGTAAAAAAGCAACAGAAGATGAAGCAGGCCTTGGGCCCACAGTGCCGACTCTTTGTTGAAGCCCGGACAGTGGTGCAAAAAGAACGTCACAGCCTCTCCCAACATACAAATTTGCTGCTTGATCTCTTGTTTGCTTGAAGCAGCAAGATGTTGGCATTGAGCTGCTAGTCAAGCAGTTTGAAATTGTGCAACAGCAATCACAGTAGACAAATTCTTGATGGACAGCCTGGATGCCAGCTTTGGATCCAGTCCAAACTCTTTAGCAGCTGCAACCAATTGGTCTTTAGATGCTTCAGTTTTGAGAAGCTTCTGGACAGTCTGTACATGCTTAACCAACATTTGATACTTGCCTTTAAACTCTGGCTTGTTCTTGTAAGTGGCTAGCCATTCAGTGACATGGTCATCTGTGGCTCCTTTGGGACGAGTATCCAGCTTTCGTTGCGGATCTTTAAGGAGCTGTTCAGCTTCCATTTGGGATTCCGGCTCAGCAATGGGCATGGCAGGCTTTGCCCGTCGTCCTGAGTCAGGCTCAGGATCTTCAGTCGCCTTCCTCTTCAGGGGAGACATAGCAATGCCATGCTCAGCCAATTTGGCTTTAGCTTTGGCAAGTTCTTCGGAGGCATCCGGATTTGTTGGAGGCGCTTTGGCCAAAACACAATTGAAAAGTTCTTGAGCAAGCGGTTCCATGAATCGCATTGCTTCCTTATGCTTGTCGGGAGGAGCCGAAGTATGGCAGGCTTTTGCTGCCTCATCGATAGAAATGCCACTTTCACGAAGCTTCTTCAACAGTGCAGTAATGAGTACCGATTCTTGGCCGCTTCGAGCCCAGACGATACTCTGGTGCCTTCCTTCTGACAACAATCGAAATGAGAAATCTCCAAGGCCTCGATGGGCAAGCTCAAAGGCACGGATGTCGCTGACATCACGGCCAGCCAGCCCAGCTTTGCGAGACCACTCTGTGGGTTGAACCAACTTATGCAGCACATGAGCACCTTTGCCCAAAGGGGTCTTGTCATAGTGCTGGTCATCTGAAACAAAAGAAGACGGCAAAGAAAAAGTTTGATACGTGGGGCTGGCTACACATTCCCACGACTTCTCTGAGTATTTGGAGTCCCATTTGTCTTCTTTGCTCCATCGATTCCATTGCTGTCGATTGTCCCAGCTGTTGCTGGAGTCGCTGTTAGACCATGATGATGATGACCAGGAGGCCATGGCGAGGTCACTTGTCCAGGGGAGAACAGTTACTTGATCAGACTGACGGCTGTTGTGAGAACGAGAGGGCATCAGTCCTGTCTGCAACTGGGCAATCAAGCCCTAAACTGCATATGATTGCTCCGTAGAGCATTTTCGATCTCTGGAGACCAAGAGGTCTTGTTTTGGCAAGAAGCCGATCAGGGCTTGGACCGATCAGGGTCCTGTGATTTTGACTGGGCCGATCAGGGCCAGGCAGTAGGCTACCCTACCGTAGACGACACGATCGACGAAAGCCGTCTAGAGCACACTCGTGCAATCCTCCCTCTGGACTGATGGTAATTGTCGGAACTCAGTCTTTCAACATAGAGGTATCGGATTTTAAGCCACTAGGCAGTAACATCAAACACACTTATTGGGGTTCTCGGCTTAGCCCCGAGCCATAACACTTGCAAAACACTGGCAGGTACGCTGGGTTGATCAGACCCAGTATCAGCCGTGGCATAGCCCTCTTCGTTGGGCAACCAGCTATGCTCACGGGGTTGCCCCCCTGCACAAACTATGCAAATCCGCAAACCTTGGCAAACAGGTGTTCACACACACACACACACACACACACACACACACACACACACACACACACACACACACACACACACACACACACACACACACACACACACACACACACACACACACACACACACACACACACACACACACACACACAACACACACCACACACACCACACACACCACACACACCACACACACCACACACACCACACACACACACCACACACACCACACACACCACACACACACACACCACACATTCACACACACACACACACCACACACACCACACACACCACACACACCACACACACCACACACACCACACACACCACACACACCACACACACCACACACACACACACACACACACACACCACACCCACCACACACACAACCACACACACACAAACAAACACAACACAACACAACACAACACACACACACACACACACACACCACACACACAACAACACCACACACACCACACCACACACACACCAAACACACACACACCACACACACCAAACAACACCACACACACTACACACCCCACCACACACACACCCAACACACACACACACACCACACACACCCCCTACACACACACACACACACCACACACACACACACCCACACCACACACACACCACACACACCACACACACACACACACACACACACACACACACACACACACACACACACACACACACACACACACACACACACACACAACACACACACACACACACAACACACACACACACACACACACACACACACAACACACACACACACACAACACACACACACACACACACAACACACACACCACACACACCACACACACCCGCACACCCGCACACCCGCACACCCGCACACCCGCACACACGCACACCCGCACACACGCACACCCGCACACCCGCACACACGCACACACGCACACACGCACACACGCACACACGCACACACGCACACACGCACACACGCCCACACGCCCACACGCCCACACGCCCACACGCCCACACGCCCACACGCCCACACGCCCACAACACTCCCACAGGCCCACACGCCACACGCACACACACACGCACACACAACCTCAGTCACAGATGCACCAGTGCGCCGATGAATGCAAATTACAGGTTCGTGGTTGCCGGTCTCACATCCACTTTCACTCATGTCGCTGCTGAGAATCCCACTTGGTGCATGTTCGAGGCCTTCGGTCCTGCAGTGGTACTTGAAGCGCGGCGACTACGACTGTTGCACCGGGCTCTCTGGTCTCACAGAGACATTCCTGCGCTTTCCACGTCAAATCGACATGGGGAAGTGCCTTGGATTTGCATCATTTCGCGAATTTGGGGTGGGTCTGCGTTGGGCACAGTGCCCCACCCAATCGAAGGTATGCAGAAGGCGGTGCCGTGTACCATCTTTACGCGATCATGGTCGAGTGTGATGACCACTACCTGTCTTACATCCGGCCAGAGATGGAAGGCGGACAAGTTGAAACCGGCTGCTGCCCTTGCTGTGATCTCGTCCGTTTTTTTGAGGCGATCGTGGGCAGTGGTACCGCTTCGACGACCGTGAGGCGGGGTCAGCAGTCTGCGGCGTCTCCAATGCTACAGCCGTGGATGCTTCCTTTGGGGGCGAAGAGTGGCTCTGCGTGAACTATCTCTACGGCCCTTCAGCCGTGCTGAAGCGGCCGCGGGAATCCCGGGCCTCGATGTTGCTCTACCTCAAGGCGGGCCCGGCTGGCCGCACTCCGGGCTGCACTGAAGCTGCACAGAAGGTCTTTTGTTGAAGTTTCGTGCCGCACTGGGCAGGATAGCGAGCTGCAGCAGCTGCTTCGCGAGCCCAAACTCCCAAAGCTGTGTCCGGAGTTGCAGATGCCCCTTCAGCGCGGAGAGCACCTGCAGGTGACATGTGGAGTGTGGATAGTGTGGCTTGTGGAGTCTTAGATTGGGATGTGTGATCTTGTGTGGCTCTTGAGGCGGGCAGCGTGGAGTTGGAGGCTGCGGCGGCTGCAGAAGCCGAGCTTCTGAACGATCTCCACGTAGAGCAGCTCAAGGAGGCACGAGACTCAACGCTTCTCTTCGCCAAAGTGTAACAGGTAACGCATCCAGGCGGCTTTGCTTTCAGGAACGACTCGGCTGCTTCTCTTTGTACCGTAGTGCCGACGTGTTCGTGTTCCGTGCCTACTCTGTGCTGAGAGCGTTCTCAAACTGCTATGAAGCACTAGAGATGGAAGGTGCATCGAAAAGGTTCGCGCGTAGGAGCTAAACCGGCTGAAGTCTCTGGCCTGCCGCCGGGTTGGAATGTTTCAGAGTAACGCAAAAGAAGGCCCGCTGCCTTGCTTTCGTTTCGGCGACTGATCAGCCCGACCAAGCCCAGTAGCTTCGGACACTTGCGAATGGAGCTCCAGGACTACAGAGCAAGCGCCATGGAAACATGTGTCGGAAGTCTTCCACTTCGGCAAGAGCGGCAAGAAGATCGATGTTGGTGCCGTCGTATTCAGCGTTTCCTTCCGTGGCCGCGTCTGCGCGTCTGGTGAGTGACGGCAGTGGGGCTACGAACAACTTTGTCTGGTTGATCCCTGTCGTTACGGAAAACAGGAATCAGATCGGAAATAGGCCCACGGGGCTTTCCGCTTAGGGAGGATTCTCAATTTCCCATTTTTGCCCGTGCAAACGGCGTTTCTGCCTCCCTCTGTTCCACGTCTTGGTGAGGTGAAGAAGAAGAAGGCGAAGCAGAAGAAGAAGCAGAAAGAGAAGGAAAGGAAGCACCAGGCGACGTGCGTTTGGTCGTGAGCTTGGAGTGCGGAGGTCTGGCGGCGCGCGCGCTTTTGTGAGGTTCGGCCTGGTGAGGACTCGGGCAGCTTCGAGCCAGTCCGTGACACGGACGAGCGGGAGGAGGACAGCGAGGACGACGAGGCGGGGGACGCCGGGACGCCTTCCGCGGAACGGGGTGGAACGAGCTGAACGAGCCAACGAGATAGAGTAAAGTGAGTAAAGAGAGAGCAGAGATCCGGGCCAGCGCTCTGAGGAAGCGCCTTCGGAGCCTCCCATGGAGGCAATTTTTTTTTTGGGGGGGGGCTCTGGCACATATAAAGAATGGGCCATGGGCCGAGTATCTTTCCTGCGTAGACCCGCGCCGGCGTTTAGGCCGTGGAGAAGGAGGTGGACTCCGACGAAGAAGGCCCGCGGCTCGCGCAGAGTCGCAGTCATCATCGGCTCTTAGTCTTGTTGGCTCCTTTTATTCTGAGGTTTCGAGGAAGTTTCGAGGAAGTCCTGCGAGGGGCCCGCGGCAAGAAGCGCGGGAGCAAGAGCCAGAGCAACAGCGGAAACACCCTTCTTGCGGGGCAAGGCCGGAGCCGGTCCCCTCTTCCTCCCTTCCTCCCGTCCTGGCCCGTCCTTTCTCTCTTTTCTCCGAGGCGAGGCGAGTGGCAGCCGCGCCTCCAGCGCAGGGCGTGCGCCGCCCAGCCAGGAGGAGAAGAACGAGGAGGCCCCGGCTCGCTCTCCGCAGCTCAACGCAGCCCAACCGGTCGTCGCAGGAGCTCCTTGCGCCACAGCCCAAACCAGGGCAGCCTTCGCCCGAGGAGCCCCCTGTGGAAACGGAGCCGCAAGAGCCCGAGCAGGCGCGCGCGCGCGCCACGTGGGGGCCCAGCATGCCCCTTTGTGGCGGTTTGTTGTACTGGACTCTTGTTGCTGCTACTCTAAAAGAACCTATAGATGAGTGCATAATATACAAATATATACACACACTTATATACACTCATATACACTTTTCTACACTGAGAAATACAATGAGCATATATATATATATATATAATAATATTAATAATAATAATCATAATAATAATAAAAATAATAATAATAATAATATATATATATATATATATATATATATATATATAGGGACTGATATCGAAATAAATACCAATATATATATATATATATATACATATATATATATATATATATATGTATGTGTATATATATATATGAATACACATATGTGGTCACTCCCTTGTTGAAAGACCACGCCCTTCCAAGCGAGTCGTAGTGCATGATCTGTCATCGGATAGGTGAAAATCATTGTTAGAAAATCAATTTCAAAATGTAGTTTCTTTTCAATATTCTACCCCTAAGTTTCCGGATGTCCAACAATTTCCGTGTTTTCGACAAATCCAAATTTTGCAAACGTTCGAACATTTCTCAAACTTTCCAAAATTTTCAAGATTGCCGAAAATCTCGCCCCCAATGTGACGGCCTCACTTTGCCAGATATGATACGGATTGTTGGAAGCTTTGGAAATTTTGGATTTTCGGAAAGTTAACGGTTCCAAAATTTGCAAGAGTTAACCCTTATGTTTTCAGACAAATAGGTATGCAGATTTTGGAACTTTGGAATTTTGGAATTGGTTAACTTTTCTATCTTCAATCACCTCTATGTCAGAGAATTTTAACATGATGTATCCTTCCAATCCCACTACTTTGGATCAGTGGAGCGTATTAATAAATGATTCAAAGTAATTACGAAGTTGAACCAGTCAATCAACAGAGCACTTCCTGAACCTTTCGGTTTCCAAGCATAAGTTCTATACTAAGATTACTACACTTACTGTTACTACTTTTACAGCTATTGCTGCTATTGCTACTTCTACGACTATTATTCATGAATAGTTGCCATGTTTGGTATTTCTACTGTTCACAAGGTTGACCAATAAAAGCAAAAACACCACTCGTCCCACTAAGAAGAGTTAAACCCTGTCAACTGCTTGAATTAATAGATTTGGCTAGGGGTTAAAGTGTTTTCAGGGCGAGAGAGGGATGGCAGCTGATAGCACTATGTATCAGTCAGTATTACCAGTTTCACACTATATTCCTTTTTCGTCATCAGGTTAGAGTTTTATCATTTACTCTTTGTCCTTTTGCATTTGCAATTCCTATTGTCGGTGCTATCCACAGTCTTACTTCAATTTCTCCCAAGTTAAGTTTCACTTATTCAACCATTTATTCTTTTTAGTTCCCCGAACAAGTTTGATAGCATGAGAACAGCAAATGGCTGCAATCATGATGTCTCAAGTGCAGAAGCGATCCAGGTTGGGAGGGTCGATGAGAAAACTTGCGGTTGTTGGAACTGCTCTGGCTTGGCACTTCAGCGGGCTTCTTGGAGGCTTGTTTGTGAAAGGCCTTTGGGAGCGACAACTGCTGCCGGCCGATCAGGTGAAGGCAAGATTCCGGAGTGCCGTTGAGTCAGCCGCAGAGAAGTGTGCCGCATCGGTCATCCAACAATTTGCGATCGATTGTGAACCCGAGGAACCAAAGAAGGATCGGAAGAAGAGAGAAAGATCTGGTGATTCGGGGTCTGGGGCGGCCAAGTCATTTAGGTCATCTTTGTGAGCTTGATCAACTGGGTGATTGGGGGATTGTTACGCTTGTCTAGGACTGCAACTCTGAAGACAGTGGCGACGAGGCAAGCCCAACGACACCCCAGGAGCGACAAGGGCTGGCCCACCTGCAGCTGGCTTTGATTCGGCGTCGCCGTCATGGCCAAAACTAATCAGCGGATCTTTGTGCAGTACGATGTGCCGGGTCGTGTGTTGTGGCACGAGCGGCTTGTTCTGGCACATGTGAGAAATGACGACCATGCTGTTGCCACTCCTGATTCAGACGTCTATGTAAAGCAGCTATCATTGATGAACTCCGACATGAGGGGCATGAGGGCTAGGGGGCCTTCCTGCTGGAGTGCGAGCTGCAAATGTGTACCACCTTACCACAGGAGGATATCACTACGGGGAGGCGGTCGCGGGGGTGATAGCCACTGCGGCTGTTGGGGCTAAAGCGGTCCATCCCCTACCAGCTGGTGGTAGCATCTTTGTCGGGGATGGCCCAGAGGCCGATCCCAGGACTCTTGGATTGGTCATTGATGTGATGGGCCGCCCGGAGACGACTTTAAAGGATGCCGTTCCGAAAGAGTCCAGCCATCGCGTGCTGAACTCAGCGGTCAGGATGCTCGACAGAGCCACCCCAATCTCGGCGTTAGCCCTCGAGCTAGCGCTGAAGTTAAGGTTGCGAATGATGGCACTGACCGTGCTATCGCGCCTGGACACAAACACCGCCTTGGCGTGATGAATGCCTTCTTGCCCGGTGCCTACATTCTCGGCAGCATAAGCTGCCTTAACCGACGTCCCTTGCCAACACGGACCTGCGCTCCCGCAGCACCCAGCTCCTTCAAAGACTGAAGCAGAGGGCGCAGCGCCGAAAGAGTCGTGGTCCTGGTCCCGCCTCCCTTTCTTCGAAGGGCAAAAGCAATAGGTCGCACCGACGATCGTCGTCCACATGCTAGGGGCGCTCACCACCAGCCGCACCTGTCACTGCTCATCCCCGCCTCCCTTGTCTGGCCAGCTCTCTTTCTTCTCTGGCCTTCCGCAAGTTCTTGGCAAGGGAGGTTTTTTTGTCCGTCTCCGCCTTGACACATAGTCGAGCAAGATCATGAGCGTGGAAGCCAATCGAGTGACGCCCCCGATGACCGTCTGCTCCTCAAGGACAGGCGGCCTCCGGCTGCCTTGGACTCAGCCTCCCGTACCTTCTCAGATAATAAAGGAATTCGCATCGTTTGCAAACGTCTGAACAAGATCTCGAGACTGAGCAAGTTGAAGGGATTCAACTGATCGTTGAGGACCGCCGTCTTAATGACGTGCTCAAGTTAAAGTGCTCCGACACATCCAAGCGGCGCACCTGACGAAGCCGTTCATGATGGCCCTCAAGGCCTAGATTCTTGGCCGTACGGGGTGCCGTGAGGGGCCATCCCATCTTCTTGGACAGAATGGAGCAAAGCCCAAGCTGGATGAGTTCGAGGCTGCTCCGCGCCCGAAAGCTCGCACCAAGGTAAGGAGCGAGCACAGCCGGTGCAGCAGGGCACCGCGGAAATCGAATACGAGCAGCAGTGACCTTGGGCCGGAGTGCCGCGGCTTGCGTGCCGCCTCTGGCCCCAGCAATACGTATGAGTGGCCGTGAGCTTTGATTGACTCCTGTTCCTAAAGAACAGTATCCCTATCATTAACTACACAGGCCATAAGACCTTACATTGGCTCTCATGGTGACAGCAGTATCCTGTTTCCTTTTCACCCAATAGAGATGCTTTATAGATCAACGCTTTAGTTCGCATGGATCAAAATGCTATGTCGAGTAATAACCCCATTGTACATCCCCATATTTCTACCCATAAATAACATAATTACATCAGCCTGATTGGCCCCCCGATAGTAAGGATATTGCAGTCCGCTGGACAACCCCAGTATTGGATCTGATTCAAAATGCGCCTTACTCGCAAACTTAAGATCGATCTTAAGATCACCCATAAGCTGTTCCCATTGGTAGCCGTCGTACTGTACCGAATACTTCCCTGAACAGAAACCCAGAACAGTGGCCTGACCAACAGGTTAATTAATCCAGACGGTTGTGGCATCCGTGGCATGAGCATTCTAAACCCCGAAGTCCCGAAGTTTAAAGTCATGGCATCCCCAATACGAGTTGCTGTTTGCTCATGCAAGTAAAACAAATGCTGCCCAAACAGTTACTTCAACAGTAGACGTCATACTCCTGCCAATATTAAACTGCACAAAGCGAACTCCACCAAGAACCACGATCCTTGCTGTGTTCGCTCCGGCGTTGCCCAAAGGATAGCCTTTAAGTTTTTTGGGACTATAAAATTATTTGTTCGTTTACATCAACATTTGTATTGTATATGGCATACCCTTCTCACTGTGTTGTTATATGGTCGATCATGGCGGACTTGCTGCCAGACTTGCCCGTGTGCCTGATTGTAAGTACATGTATGTGTGTGGATGCACATATTAACCTTTAGGTGAAACGTGTGCTAGATACCAGCATAATGACGCGGATCGTTAATTGACTGCTGATTCCGAGCCACATCAATCCCAACCCTATCCTTGTCATTCGCAGCTATGCCAAAGGTGCCGGCAATATTCGCCTTAGCAGCAGCCCTTCTGACCCCAATATTTCTTTCGAATTTGCAACCGTAGTCAGCTGGAAGACATCGTAGTGGTAGCTGTGAGCACCCCGAAATCCTAGGTCCTGGTCTGTGTTGAACTTGCGATACTCGCTTTCCATTGACACCAAACATGATCCGAATAATGTCCTGGATACTACCCAGTCTACTGCATAGTATGTACGCTAAGTGACTCGAATCGCAATAGTGATGACACTGGAACCTTATTGACAACACTAACTCGCAACGCGCACAAACAACAAGTGAAATGCACACTCTTTGCTAAGAAACGCTGGGTCTTGGAGTGAAATACCAAGAATTCCTAGGAAAAAATGGTGTTTGCGTGAAAGAAGATAATTTTTTTTGAGGACGGGGGGGGGGAAACAAATTTTTCGCAGGAAGAACAAAAAACACAATTTGTTTTTGGGAAACTATACGGCCAGACTCCAAAAGGATGGTTTTTGCTTTCCACAGGGAAAAATGGTTTTGTGGGCGGAAAAACAAGGTTTTCCTAACAAAAAGATGGTTTTGGCCAGGAGAGCGAGCTTTGCTTAGGGAAAACCAGAAAATCAATCATGGTGGAATTTGGCCGCATAGTTTCCGAAAAGATGGTTTTTGAGTTTTCCCGATGAAAAAATTGGGTTTCCTTCCCAGAACAATCCTTTTCCTGGTTTTCCCTAAGAAGAGTTGGGTTTCCTTCCCCGAACCATCCTTTTCCTACATGAAAAGTTGGCTTCTTACATCAAAACCATCTTTTCCAGGAAAAAATTGGTTTTCCTGCCCAAAACCATTTTCTCTAGGGGAAATCAAAAAAATCTTTTTGGAGTCTGGCCGCATAGTGTCTCAAAAGTTTTTTTTTGTTTTTTGTGTTCCCTAGAAAAAGTTGGTTTTTGATTGGGAGGCAGTGTTACCGTTGACTACTTGCGCACGTCGAACCTGAATGAGTTGACTGACACGTACTGTTGAAATGTGAGATTGATTTCGGTAGTCCTTGAGAAATACAGTATCCGGACCTCATGATTGAATGAGTTGGCGGACACGTTCTTTTGGAATCTGAGTTTGTTTGGGGTAATCATACAAAATCCGGACCTACAGGAGAAGCTGGTTTGACACAGTATTTACGATACAAAAACGAGGGTCGGTAGTTCATGGCTGGGTATATTATATATTATATATTATATATTATATATTATATATTATATATTATATATTATATATTATATATTATATATTATATATTATATATTATATACTATATATTATATATTATATATTATATATATTTATTATATTATATTATATTATATATATATATTATATATTATATATTATATATTATATATTATATATTATATATTATATATTATATATTATATATTATATATTATATATTATATGTTATATGTTATATATTATATATTATATATTATATATTATATATTATATATTATATATTATATATTATATATTATATATTATATATTATATATTATATATTATATATTATATACTATATATTTTATATTATAGATTATATATTATATATTAGATATTATATATTATATATTATATATTATATATTATATATCATATAGTATATATCATTTATTATATATTATATATTATATATTATATATTATATATTATGTATTATGTATTATGTTTTATATGTTATGTAATATTCATTATATACTATATAATATATATTGTATTATTATATACGTATTATATATAGATATATAGGACCTTGCGTAGGGCTGCAGAGTACCTTGCGCGCCTCCGATTCGAAGTGAGTTACGCATATTAATACTAGTGGCAAAGACTGGTTAGAGCGAGGGCACCTTTTCTGCTACAACGTTGCAAGCACAGAGATAGGCAGGCGAAGATGAGCAGATTCACAGCCTGCATCGAAGGCGCGGAAGAAAAAGGGCAAGCAGAAGAAAAGGAAGGAGAGAGAACGGGAACGAAGACCGCAGGCCCAGGTCTTCTCGCAAGTTCACACGTCTCGCCACTTCTGCCTGCTGCAGGTAGAGGAGAGGTCCGAGAGGAGGGATGCTGACAGCGATGAGGCGCGAAAGCAGATGCGCCTTCGATCAAGAAACACTTCCGGCATATATTCATGGATGTGTGCTCTATGTAGTCATCTGTGTACTTACGTGAGCATACGCATGCGGATGCAGCGACACACAGTGAAACCCGGAGACACGCTTCAAAAAATCCTTGCACAAAAACTACAGTTTTCGGTGTTCTTGGCACGCACAGCGAACTTTGCAGAGCGTCTACACATGGAGCGGATGCTCAGTGGGCCTGTTCGTTGGGTCACCCTCCACTGGCACGGGTGACCCCCTTGCAATCCTGAAAAAGACAATGGCCGAACCCTTGGCGAACATGGTGTCACACAAGTAGAGGGTCACTTAACTTGTGACTTCTATTTTGTTTCCCTTGTGACTTTCATGGTCTCGCTTGTGACTTCTCACTTTTTGACCTGGAAAAATCCTGCATTTGCATGGGTTTCGGACTCCTGGCCTCCTCCCTCCACATCCTGATACCAAACAAGCCGAAACAGGCGGGCGATCAGATGGATGTTGAACCAAAATCGCCAAATGAGGCGCTGTGTTTAAGATAGATGGTTCAAGTCTCGGGTCAAACCCCTGGTTTACAGGTGGGTGCGGGAGGCAGTGTAGTTGTTGTGTAGTAACCATGCCCAGGTTCTAGCTTTGTTGGAACAGGCCCAAAAAGGTAAATCCCAGCTTTAGCGTGCAGTAGCGTCAGTAGCGCTTCGCATTTGCCAGAAGTGTAGCGCTACAACGGTGGCTGAGCTTTTCGTCGCCGGCGCAAAAGGCGAGTAATTGTTTTTTGACCGAGCTGGTCAACCCCGCCGTAGCCAGAAGAAGTAGGGCAGCGTGCCGTGGTGTGGTCGCTTGAGCTGGCTAGCAGAGGCATCTCGCACCGCAGACAGCCCTGACTGTGTGCCCCATGGAATGGCGAGATGCTGCACATTGTGGGAGATGGGAGTGGGCCGACAAGCTCCAGCAGGATATGGTCTGTTAGGCCGGCAGGCAGGAGTCAAGGGGATGCTGGATGCTGGAGTTCGTCGCTGATAGCACGTCAGCCTGGCTTGACCAGAGCAGTGGTGCTACTTCGAGCGAAGAGAGCGGCAGTAGGACCTTTGCTCCGGAGCCTGTCCCGCTGCATAGGGAACACCAGAGACAACCCGGAAAGACCTTGGTGTCGACAGTGGCGCCGCTCGTCGCCGGCGGGTCAAAAACTCCTTTCCCAAGCTCAAGAAGGCTGCCCTGAGGAACACACCAAGCTTGGGCGTCTGCGCTTCAAAAGCCGAAAGGCTAATGGGGTGCAAGTGTTCAAAGCGTGGAATCAGCTTGAAGATGTGTGCTGTTAGGGAAGGTTCGTTTAACTGCCATTTGTCTTCCGTGCGTAGGCTAGGGGGCCCTGTGCAGACTAATCTGGTCTTTAATTGATGTGGTGTCTGTGCAGGCAGTACTGGCCCAAGCTGGCTTGGTCTTCGGGGCTGGGCCTCCAGTGGCCCCAGTTCTCTTGATCATCATCATTCATGGCTACAAGCACCTGAGAAAACAATCGCGGACAAGAAGCAAGCAAGGAAGCAGCACAAGAAGAACGCAACCCTCAGGAACCTAAACGACTGCACTCCCTAACACTGGCTACAGCATGCAGTGCACGGGTTTTGACGGCCTGGCTGTGCTGCAGGCACCTGCTGATTGCAGGTCGGCGCTAAGCCACAGTAGAGAGTTTCTTTGCGAAGTTCAGAATCTAGCTGCTCTTCGGACTCCTGCTGCCCATGACCCGGCCCGGTCAGCCTGCTCCAAAGCGGCTTGCTCCCGCCTCCAATGACGGACGCTGGTCCTCCAGATGTCCTCCATGTTAAACCAGTTCACTACACAAACAGAGCACCAGTGGTGATGGTGACCTCGTTTGATTCTGGAGCATGGTAAGCCGCATTCGCACTTGTGCTCGCAAAGGGTAACCGGAGCTCGGCGTCTCCAGCTCAGAGCCATGGTCCGAAGTCCGAAGCAGTCGGTTAACTACTCCTCGAACACAACATTTTCACAATATATGTGGCTCCAGGTTACCGCAGTTGGGCTGTAGAGGTCTGTCAGCGAAGGTTCCAGGAAGCTGTGTTCTTTGGCCATCAGGCGGGCCCGTCGGACCCATCCGTTCCGAAACCTCCAGTCCAAGACGTACTTGCACTGAAGTCGAACCCGCCAACGTTGGAAGGCCGTGAAGACCAGCAATGACTACCTTTGACACAGGTGGAAAGATATTAAAGCCGCCAGAAGCGTTCCATCCGGCCACACTTGAAGAAAAAGTGTCGCAAAGGAGCGACTGGTGTATACGTTCAAGAACTTCTTAGCATTTGTGGATCACGATGTCTTTGAAGATTTGCAAAAGGCTGAAGAAGAGACCGCAAAGATCCCACCAGAAGGGAGAAAGACAAGAGGATTGAAACTGTATTCGGTGCTAGGTAGCTATACCTGAAGAATCGTCCGCTCAAGGTGTTGCGAAGTGTTGAGAACATGAACGGATTCGAAGTTTGGAGAAAACTTACGGCAGAACTGGAGCCAAGTTCAAGATCAAGAAGTTTAGCAATGGGCCCGGCATTGGTTAGGTTCCCGGCTATGAGCAGAGGAGCATCGTTGATGGATTACGTCTTGAAATTTGAGAAGCCGCGCCCGCACTGTGCTGCCAGTGCTTGGGCTGACGTTGCGGAGCCGTTTGAGAGGTCTTTGAGCCTGGTTACTAGTTACAGTATGGCTGTCCCTCAAGTTTTTGAAGGTGCACCTCGGCCTGCGAACTGCGAACCAACAAGTCCAGCTCCTTCGTTGACGGGAGATATGCTACTGAATCAGCTGGTTGTGGCTGTTGCTCAGTTAGCTCAAGCAGCCAGCGCGACTTCGAGTTCCTCACTCCAGACATCTTCAATCATAAGACCATTGAGGAGGAAGCTAGCCAGTGCAGCAAGAATGTTCGAATGCCAATGAAAGATGTCATGTGCACGCGGGTGGACAGGGAATGCCACCGTGCAACTTGGTGGAACAGCGACTGATGGGCTGCACGTTCGTTCCACTGGTGCAAGCGAATGGTCCATGGTTGGGCCACGACCCCGCAACTGCAGCGCCTGGGATGAGCTCTATGAGAACGATGATGATGCTGATGATGTGCGAGTGCCCTTGAGCCCGGTGCCGAGATTGTCCTCCGCAAGAATGCTATGGGCACTGAGAAGTGAGAAGATCGCACGGAGCAGGACAATAAATGTAGGAGTGCTTGAGTGATGCCGCATGTTTTGGTTGAGTGAAGTGAGCTTCGACGTGTTGAAAGGATGTTTTCTGTGGATCGCAGAGACTGAAGTTCTCATGCTGTGTACAATGCAAGGCTGCACTCCCGTTTTGCAGATCAACATGTGCCACAATGACCAATCTGAGTCCACATGTTCCGCGCAGCTTTGATTGGTCATTGTTTGAATGTTTGTCTCTTCGCTTCGCGAATGATGCTTCTCAACTGTTTGAATGATCGCCGACTGAAGTCAGGATCACGGGACTAGGTTTCGCCCAATAAGCATGATGCACTGACGCATGCTCTGATGCCGTGTGGCATTGGCTCAAGACGGGCCGGTCGGCTTGACGTCACACGGTTTCTAGGGAAAGTGATTGATTTTAGTTGCTTTCGACATGTTAGGATTGTGCAGTTGGGTTTTATCGTACACGCTGAGTGTATGCAATGGGACGTTGTACACAGCAGCAGGGTGGTTGTGTCGCAGGAGCCTGTGAATATCGCAGCCGCGGTGCCGAGCAAGGCGTGTGTATGGTTGAGTGCAGCTGGGCTTTCCCTCGAGGTACATGTATCATGTCAGGCACCGGCGGTTTCGAAGGCGAAGACTTTGCCAGAGGCAAGGCCGCAAGGCGGGAGATGAGTGCCGGATGCAAGTCTTTAGCGGAAGGCTCCTCGAGAAATGTGGGTTTCCAAAGAAGAAGGCCCACCTGCAGGTGCCCCGGGTGCCCTGTGCCGAGGAAGCTAGGTGACAAGGAATGTTTCCCGTTCTTTTTCGGCCATGGGACAGGACTTGATCAAAGCTTCACATCCTGCACGAGATCTTCAGCGAGATCTTCAAGCAGTACGCGAGGACGGCCAACAAAAAAGTTTTGGCCCAAGAATCAGCAGAGCCCGCCGTTTCCTTGTGAGGAGAGTCGGTGGAGGTGAACGGAGACGTCGGTGATGGGCCACTCTCGGCGAGGGAGCTGGGCCAGGGCCGGGAAAGCCCGCCAGGGCGAGCGGCGCGAGCCACGCCTTCTCCGCCGAACACTGCGGTTCCTTCGGGGCCGGAGCCGAACAACCGGCGTCCCACAGACAGTTCGGGGAGCCCCGGCGGGAGCATTTCCACAGGCCTCTTCCAGGCAGACCGCCAGTGGGAGGCCGGAGTCGGCCCCGAAAAACCGACGCTTTAAAAGACACTCGTCCTGGAGGCCCTGGAGGGTGGGACGCTGGCGGCTGGACACCCAGAGTGCCAGTGGGCGAGAAGTGAGGAGACTTTTTGAGAGCCCAGCCAGGTACAGCGTGGCACCTGCGTTTGGGTGCGCCCTCACAGCCTCTTTGCTGTTGCATGTTGCATGTTGCTGCTTTGATGCCTGCGAAGCCTTTTCCTCATGCAGAGGGGGACATCATGAGTTTTGGCCCTAAGCGAAGTTGCGCCTCGCCGCGGGTTTTGGCAGCTCTATGATCTGATCAGTTCCCGTTGCAGCATCGGCGCATCTGGGCGCCGTCACTGTCCTTTTTCACAAAATCTCACAAAGCTAGGCCGTGTGTAGCTGATCACATCGATCTAGGGCGTCGCCGCGTGGCGTGGCGCTCTGCTGCTCTTCCCAGTCGGAGAGTGTGCTACATCACGAGGGCACACTCAAACCCGAAATCTACCAAGAGGGTAGGGGCTGCGCCAGGCCGGGCCGCCTGTACAGAGAAAGGTGCCGCGAGGCGAGTGCCGCAAAAGGAGAGCTTGCCAGCTGCGGATGCAGTCGCTCCGCAGTGTGCTTGTTGTGCTGCTTGGGTCCTGTCCCAGGTGCTGCAGCTGGATCCCAACAGCGACTGGGCCCTTGGACAAGTTTTCAAGGAGACGAGTCTAATGGAGATCTCCCTGACTTTTATATGCCCTTGAACAGAGAGTGTTGGTAGGTTTGGCCAGAAGCCGCGTTCGGACATGCTAGCTGCTGTCTGCTAGCATCTGCTAGCATCTGCTAGCCTGCTAGCTGTTGCGAGACGTCCGTCAGCGCGATGGACGGCGAGTGCATGAGCTGAAGCCAGCTGTCCGGCTGTCCTTGACCTCAGCCTAATCCTCAGAGATTCTCACGGTGGGCGCGGCGGAAGGACTGGTCGATGCAGAGCGATGCTGGCTGGGTCCCCCGCTGTGTTCTGACGCTGGCGCTCTTCCGGGTGTTCCTCGGCGGTAAAGCAGGAGAAGCCGGGCGGGCGCAGTGCAAGGGCAGCGAGTCGAAGTGAAGCTCTCTCTGCCAAGGTACAGTCCCTACGACTCCTCGGAGCATGCTGAGGTCGAAGTTTAAACGTCGTTCGATTCACTGCCGCGTTCTTGGGGCCCCGGCCCCGGCCCGGGCCCTCGAATTCCTTTCTTTGACAGGTGCAAGCTTTGGCCTTAAAGCCCGGCGACCTCGTGACGGTGCAAAGTTTCGGTGCCTCGGAGCCTAAGCGCGCGGAAATGCGCCTTTCTCCGCGTGTGTGTGTGTGTGTGTGTGTGCGTGTGCGATGCCGTGCGTTGTGCGGTCAGAGTCGACGAGGCAACGGCTGGAGCTACGGCAACCGCGTAGGGCCGGGAGCCGAGCGGCCGAGCGGTTCGCTGAGGGCTTCGAAAGGCGCGCAGAGCGCGCCGCGGCTCCGAGGCCCGGCGGTACGGTGGAAGCCTCGGGCTGGTTCCCGCAGGCGCGTTGAGCGCAGTCTCTATAGTCCGTTGTCTGTGAGAGTTCTCGACTCGCGAGACCTGCATCTTCCAGCCGCTCCCACTGCAATGACGAAGGCGAGAGGGGAAAGGAGAGAAGCGAGACGAGAGAGTGGCAGAGTGGCCTGTGCTCCGACTGCGTGGCTTGTGTCTGCCTCCCTGAGAAGTGCGGCCTCCGCAGCGACGACGGCCCCGGGCAGTCGCTTCGGCCCAAAAAAGTGGAGCTGAGCCCTGCAAGCCTGCAAGTGCAGCTGCCATGCTTTGGCGAATCCATGGCCCTCTTGCCCTTCGCTCTGTTTGCTCACGGCTCACGGCTCCGCTGACTTAGCTTACATAGCTCTCCGCTGGTCTGCTCTCCGCTGTCTGCTCTCTCGCTGCTCTGGCTCGAGCCATGCAGGGCTTAGGCTGAGGAGGAGCGGAAAGAGCCTAGACTCTAGACCCGCTCGCCTGGCGCCGCTCGCCCTTGGATGAGGCAGGTGCTCAGAGCTTGCGCATGAGAGTGGGGGATTCTACAGATTCAGCCGAAGCCCGAGAAGAGAGGGACGGAGAGAGAGAGAGAGAGAGCCCTGGCGAAGAAGAGGAAGGAAGGAAGCTGTAGCATGGGGGCCATGACTTTCCGCAGGCCATGCGGAGCAGGGCTTGGCCAGACGCCAAGTCGTGCTGGAAGTGATGTGTTTCCTTCGCCTTCTGCAGAGGTCCGCGAGCCCGCCCCGGCGTAGGCGGAGGCGGCGGCGAGGAGGGGAACACGCCTCCCGCTCCGGCGGCCGGCACGGTCGCGATGGCAGCCGCTCGGGCGGCTCGCGGGAACCCTCGCGGCGCCGCTCTCGCTCCAGGCGCCAGAAGAGCCCAACGCAGCCTTCTCTGCTGTGTCGCCCTGCAAAGGTCCAATCCCAACGATCGCAGGCCGTGGATAGAGCGCGAGAAGGTGAGCCGCTGCAATCGCCCAAGCTGTGCAGCTATGTGCTTCAGATCTCGCTTTCATCAGGGGGGCGTGAAGCTCTTCGTGGGGCGACTCCCGAGAGAGGTCAACAAGCGCCTCGTCTGTTAGAGAGGGCCCGGAAGCAAAAGCAGAGCAGCAGAGCAGCAGAGCAGCAGAGCAGCAGAGCAGCAGAGCAGCAGAGCAGCAGAGCAGCAGAGCAGCAGAGCAGCAGAGCAGCAGAGCAGCAGAGCAGGGGCAGGGCGTCATCCTCCCTCGTCTCTTTTTTGTTTGTCGCCACTCGCCACCGCTCCGCTGCTGCGCCGCCCGCGCCGGGCCAGGCTGCGGCCTCTCTTCTGCTGTCTAAGGACCGCGCTTGAGGAGTGCTTCGGGGAGTTCGGGGAAGTCCTCGAAGTCTTCATTATCGCCTCCCAGGCGCTGAGACGGTGACGGCAGAAGGGCTCGGCCGCCGGGACCTCTTTCTTTCGTTTGGAGGCCGCCAGCGGCGTTGGCTGTTCCTTCGTTCGGATGGCCTCGCCAAGGGCTCGGGCTGAGGGGAGAAAGCACAGCGGCATGGCAGCATACAGTAGCTGCAGGATCCAGGCGGCTGAGGAGGCAATCGCAGAGCTCCACGAGCAGCGGGTGCTCTCCCCGGAAGCGGCGGCAGCGGCCCGCAGCAGCAGCAGCAGCATGCGCAGCAGCATGCGCAGCAGCATGCGCAGCAGCATGCGCGCAGCATGCAGCATGCCGCAGGTGCTGATCCCGGAGCAGGCAGACCTCGGGCCGATGCAGGCACCGCCGGAGCAGAAGGCAAAAGAGAGACAAAAGAGCAGAGGTATAGCCGGCGGTAGCAACGGGGAGTGCCGTCTGCCCGCCGCTTCATTGGTTTCTCTCAGGTTGCGTTCGCCAAGGGTGAGGCGATTCGACTCGGCCGATCGCTCAGACACTCTCAGAGATGCTGACGGAGAAACCACCGCGCGTTGTTGAGGTCTTGACGAGAAGGAGGAGATTTTGCCAAGCTTCAAAGAAGCACGACAAAAGGCACTGCAGGGCATACTACTAGCGACCTTCGAAGTCTCGAAGCATCTCGTGATCGCGTGGCATGGTGTGGCGTGCAGGTGGTGGAGCACCAGGAGAAGAAGCACTTCTTCGAGAAGATGCAAAAGCAGCAAGAGGAGACTGAGAGACTGAGAGAGTGCTGCCCCAAACACGAGCTCGGGATCCGATTTTGTTCCGTGAGGAGCAGGCCAAGGCCAGTTTGCTCCGCGGGGGGTCGTTCTTCGGGTCGGAAACGGCGCGCATCGCTCGCGCTGAGGGCAGATATCGATGCTCGCGGCTCGCGCTGATCGCTTGGTCGCTTTGTCACGTCTCATGTCTTTTTGGCAGATCGTGGAGTATCAGCATGCGTTGATGATGCAACACCAGGCCAGGGTTCGGGAGCTTTCGGGGGCTTTCCGGCAGTTGCGACTCTGTGCTCGTCACGGCGAGGCCATGCTGCAGCAGATTCAGGAGAAGCCTCGCGAGGCAAGAGCGGCCAAGCTGTACAGCGGCCGCCTGCGCTTTCTCTTCGGAAGTCTCAGGATCTCGTCACCATCGTAAAGGATGGTCAAAGAAATGGCGGTCAGCCTTTCAAGCTGCGGCCCAAACAGCCAAGTTCGGCAGTCGGCCGGGACCGGCGGTTGGGAGCTTTGTTGCAGGCAGAGGTGGTGGAGCTTCTGCGATGCCGGATGGCACAGTCCTCACTTTTTTCAAGGGCCGGCTAGACGAAATGACCAGGAAAATGCGCTGAATCTTGGCGTTCTCCATGCGAGAGCCGAGCCGATGTGTACGGTGCCACGGTGCTCCAGGTCGGGCTGCCGGGACTACGATCCCAACCACCACGGCAAGGAGGCCTTGGCCCACTTCGTCTCTGCTCGGAGCTCAGACGCTTGGTGTCCCGTCGTCCCTTCAACACGTCTCTCCTCCTCCTCCTCCTCCTCCTCCCCTCCTTTCCTGAGGTCGCTAGCACAGAGTACGGCTCTGGCTCTCAGCTCTCGGACACCAGTCAACAAGGGGGCGCGAGCTATCGCGAGCTGTGAGCTTCTGAGGTCACGAGCAGTGGTTCAAGTCTCGATTTCCGAAGCTTCCAGCTCTGCCTGAGAAGCCGAAGGGAATGCCGGAGCCAGGAGAAAACCGGAAGCTGGAATGCGGAGTACGCTAAAGCCAAAGTGTGAGCGCTTTTGGCAGGATCTCCGGGTCTTATGCCGTCGGTGTCCCAATTCAGAAGTCTATATAAGTCTAGAAGTGTCTATGGCGTCTATGGCGCAGGCCAGGAGCTCCGCCACCTGGAGGGCCGCCGCACGGTCCACCCGGCCCCGGCGGACCTGGCTTGGGTCCCCGCCCTCCCATGGGGATGGGTCCCGGAGGGCCAATCCCTGGCCCTCCCGGACTGCCACCGCATCTGCCGCCGCATCTGCCGCCGCCGGGCATGCCCGGAATGCCGCTGCCCGGAATGCCGGGCTCCCAAAAAAAGCATCGCAGTCTTCAACAGTTCGTGTGCAGACTCTCAAAGGCCTGGGGGGCCACCCTTCGGACCGCCTGGCGTGCCGCTCCTGCCAGGGCGGGGCTGGGGTGCTCTTTACGTGTCAAGACCTGCACGCCTCGGCTGCATCGCGGGAGGATGCCGCCGCCCTTCCCGCTGATGCATCCTCCACCAGGTCCATGCTTGTCCATGCACTTAATTTAATCATTGAAAACTCTTCATGCTCTCTCAGCTCTCTCTCTCTCTCTCTCTCTCTGTCTCTCCCTCTCTCCCTCTCTCTCTCTCACACACAGATGGACAGAAATGTCCGCACCCACTCACACCACCCACATGCACCTCGCATGCCCAACCCCACCCACACCTATCCACGCCCACCTACCCACCCACTCAATCATCCAGTCGCCCATTCCAGAACGTCATATAGCAGCGCTGTGATGTGGCATTCTTGCGCGGTGCACAGCCGTACAAGTTGTGATATGGAACATTGCAGAGCTTAGCACATCGATTCAGGTAGCGAGATTCCTGCGGGAGATGGGGGTGGTGGCCGCGTGGAGCTCAGGGAGTTTTCACAAGTGAGAGCAAAGCTGTTTGCAAAGAGACGTGTGAAATTTCCCTGTCTTGAAGAGCCGTGTTGACATGTCCTCATGCGAGAGTAGTTTTCATGTTCAGTTCTGAATGCACCCTGTACGACAGACGTCTTGGGCTCAGACCAAAAAGTGTGCTCGTTGTGTGGTTGGACACTCACTAATCCAGTTCCTGCTTCAAACTGGTAGCGGAGCTGTGAGGACAACCACTAGTGTTTCACCCCCGTTGAGCCTGTGGTCCGGGGTCCGTTGGGTAGAGTAGTGATAGTCGCGGCGCAAAGGCCCCTTCTATCCTCGAAGCCATGAGCGTGGCAGGCTTGCGTTACCAGCCCAATCTCTGGTCACAGAACCTGAGCCCTGCCGAAACCAAAAGCGGCTCGTACATATATGACGGGTCAGCTGCTGGGTTCCACGATTGGTGCTTCCGGACACACATCTGTGTGCTGCAGCAGAAGGAAAAGCAGCGGCGTGAAGCTTTGAAGGACTTGCGTTTTGCTGAATCGGCAAAGTCCAAAAGCGAGTCACCAAGAAAGTGGCGCGGCAGAGCCAGTCAAGGGACCAGTGCACACCCCACCGAGGGTGATGCGAGCAGCGGTATACCCGCTAGTCCGTCCAGCGCAAGGCGGACTAAGCCCGTGTCCGAGGCAGAAGATGAGGATGCGGAGTCGTTACCGTCACACCCCAGTCAGGTGACGGGCGACGATGAGCAAGAGCCGGACACAGATCCGGCGGTGTACACGTTGCAAGACGTCAAGGACGAGTCGCTCGACATGAGCGAGTGCGTCAGCAAGATCCTAGAAGGTCTCCGAGGGGATGCCTTCTGCATTGCACGCGACGTCGGTTTGGAACGTTTGCTTCGACATGATGGCATTGACTACCTGATAGAGGAAATCAGGAGACAAGCCTTCCCTCTTCAATCCGAAGAGGCGTCCGAACTCTTCCGTCAGGGACAGCTCCTGACGGGCCCACTTGCAAAGCAGCCTGGCGAGCCTATGTTGTCTTACATAGCCCGCCGAAAGAGGTGGTGGTCGACCTTGCGAGAGCTGGACCCTGACATCCGTCTTTCCGAGACAATGAGAGCTAATCTCCTCGTTGAGCTTTCGGGATTGGATAGGTCCGAACAGCTGATGGTCAAGACCGCTGCCCGCATGCACAGTGTGGATGAGTACGCACGCGTCCTTGTTCAGCACCACTCAGTGGTGCACATGAAAGAACGTCTTCTGACTCAGAAGGACCCTAGTGGCCCGGGTAGGACCTGGAGACGTTTTGACGCTAAGCCCCAATATCCTAAGTTCGGTTACATGGGATATGACGGCAGTGCCGTAGAGTATGATCACCAGGAACAGCACGAATCCGCGGAAGGCTACGGTGACGGCTACGGTGATGAAGCGTACCAGGCCACAGCGTCTGGGGGAGGTGATGCGGATGAATGGATCGATGATGAGGATCTAGCATTGCAACTCAATGCCTATACGGCGGTGGCATACGAAGCTGAGGTTGATGACTTGGACGATTCCTACGCCGAGTCAGTTCAGCTTGCATACGCAGCACAGACCGCATTTGCCCAGGCAAAAGGAAAAGGAAAGGGGAAGAACAAGGGCAAGCCCACCGGGAAATCCGGCGGGAAGGTCGTGCGTAGTAACCTTACTATTGCTGACCGCAAGGCTAAGCTTGCAGAGCTTAAGGCTAAGAGTAGGTGCTTGAAGTGCGGTGTGATTGGCCATTGGGCCGGAGATGCTGCCTGCAAGTTTAGCGGTAAGGGCAATGGCCCCAAGGGAACTGCAACCCCAGCACAGTCTGGGGGAACTGCCAATGCAGCCGCAAAGTCGGCGGCGCCGAAGCCTCAGGCGTATTTCGCCGCAGTGGAATCTGTCGAATGCGAGCGCTGGTAGGCTCGAGGGTTACCCAGCCAACCTTGAGCTGACTCCCTCAAAGACCAATACCGGTAAAGGCCGCGGCAGTGAAACCCTCTTCTCACCACAGCTTCGGCGCACAGCCGCCGCAGGGATCATGCGTGATAGCCCCCTCCGGGTTCTGATCGCGTTTTCTCTTTCGGCCAGCACAAGGGGTTGACGTATGAGCGCGTTCTCTACACATACCCCGGGTATATCCTTTGGGGACGCACGCGGGTTGGCTGACTTCCTGAATTGGACCACAGAGTACTTTGATGTGCGTGATGATACCCCCATCAGTATTACGAGAAGAGATGTTCCTCTCAGTCAGGAGCCCCCGCCTGAACCCTTTCAGCCCGAGGTTCGCCTCGCCGCCTCAGCTGCTTCGTCCAGCGAAGGCCCCCGGAAATGCCGGGGAGGATGCAAGGAGTTCAATAAGTCGGGAAGCAACGCATACATAGACATGCGGACTTGCAAGAAATGCGGCACAGTCACAAAGACGAAGAAGGAGAAGCCTGTCATAGACCAGGCCACATGCCCACACACATCCACAGAGAGGTCGGGTAGTAGCAGGAAGACTTCCCGCATTAAGTGCAAGCTTTGTGGGATGCTTCTAGATGAGCAGCCGCAGACCGAGCGAAAGGCTAGGGAGGACGCAGCCACAGTGCTGCGGGAGTCCAACACCCTGAACTTCGATCTCCTGCGCAGCATGGTCGGCAGCACGGGAGATAGCCTTCCCGTAGAGGTAGTAGTTCCGGCTATTGCCCAGTTCCAAGAGACCGTAGAAGGCCACTTCGTAACCGAGCCCGTGATATCCCGCGGTGACCTTCTCGCATACCTGCAAGAGGCCTTAGACGATCACGCAGCGCCGTCCACCAACAACAGTTGGGAAGTGGCGTCGGTGAGATCGCGCTCCTCGAGGGCCTCTGCTACAAGGCAGGGATTCGTGGCTTTTACCGAAGGGGTCACAGATATCCATCCGGCTTTGGTTGATTTGCCCGTAGTAAACATCTACGAGGACGAGCATGTATACGCCGTGCTAGATGAGGGATGTAACTCGACTGTTCACGGTAGCGATTGGATAGCAAACGCGGCTGGAAAACTTGCGAACTTCGGTTACAGCACAAGGTTTAAGCCTGAAGGGAATCGTACCTTCAAGGGTCTTAGCGGCGCTACCGAGACTTTGGGTAGCAGGACCATACCTTTCTCTATAATGGGATTGGAGCAGGACTTGAGAGTTCCAGGCGTCCTTGATTCGCATGAGATTAAGGGTACCGCCCCTCTCCTCTTGTCCCTTTATGCGCAGGCCTAGCTTGGTATAACCAAGGATCTACGATTTGGCGTGTGTGGTGTTCGACTTCCTTCGGAGGACACTGTCATAAAGATCAAGTTGTGTCGAGCGCATGACTCAGGGCTGTTGTGCATAAACATAACAGAGGGTTTGATTCAGGTTAAGCAACCCCGCCTCATAAAGGGTTTCCAGATTCCCTCGCCGCCAGTTCCTATGTTTAGGTCTGCCGCCGCCGCCACGTTAGCTCACTCAGGACCTGTGAGCGGATTCCCCGGAGACGCAGCAGCGACAGAGGATGCAGCGGCAACAAGTCGCAGTCACAGTACTGTAGGTGCAGGCCATGGTCACAGCACTGTAGGCGTAGGCCACGGTCACAGCTTCACAACGTCAGCTGAGATTCGCAACACGAAGCGACGCATAAGTGTAGCGTTCCCTAATCATTGCATGGTAGGCACGTCCGTAGGAGACACGGAGCCCGCCGCGATGGCCGCAGCAGAGGGGCAACTGCCTAAGAAGGCGCCTCCCACGGCGAAGGCTGCACCGAAGACGCCTGCAGCGCCGGCGCCTGGCCACAGTGCCACGGCGAAAGCACCTTCAGGCGGCTATAATGCCGCCCCGGCACCCGATCCTGTGCCCCAGCCGAAGGCGCCGCCCGGCTATGTGTCGGCGACAGCGCCAAAGGGGCCGCCACCCGGGTATAACCCGGGGATTCCCGCTGCTCGTGCCACAGTGCACCCGAAGACCATCGCCCAAGGCCACCGCGACTTGGCCGCCTTCGATGCGAGAGTGAAGCGAGACCCGCATGGGCGACCCCTGGTTATAATGCCAGGTGCAGGACCGCACGGCCCCGAGCTGGACACGCCGTTGCCTGCATCCGCTGCAGCCGCACTATGCGGGGGATATAGCGAACCCGGACATCATCATTGATGTTTTTACATGGGGTTTCGACCACCATGCATGGTTGCAGCGTGTCAGGGGCAGGTGGACCGCTGACGAGCTCTTCGCACAGCACGAAGAGATGGAGACATACGCCATAACGACGCATGCATCTGCCACTAGCTATATGCTAGTGATGTTGGACATGGTGTGGCTGAAAGACGACAGGAGGGATGGCATGACGCCCGCCGAAGCCCAACGTGCCAGCGATGAACAGAGGGACCGCACAAAGCATGTTGGGTCGAACCCCGATATAATTCGGGAGAATGCCGAGCACCCGAACCTGATCGCGCACGCCAGGCATATTCTGGCGAACGTCCTTGATGCCAAGGATGCGGGAATCAGGTCCATTGCAGTTCACGTAGTTTGCAAGGCCAACAGACACAGATCTGTTGCGTCGGGTATCCTTACCCATGCAATGCTCATGGAGCTGGTGCCGGACTGCTCTATTACCCTGGGAGTCCGAGTATGCTATATAAGCATACTCGCGAAAGTTGGCTC